CTTTCGAAAGCCCTCTGACTCCTTTGAAACATAAGCAAATTGGAAATCTGTATTTGCAAGATGGGAAGTAAACCAAAAACCTCACTTTGGCTGCCTAAAAATAAAGCCTTATGAAGCAAAGACCTTGCTGAATAGCAAACTCTTAACACAGATAGGATTTCCTTTGCCACAATAAATGTTGTTTCAGATTCTGAAGTTGAATGTATAATTCATTCCACTGAGCTGTAACATTTTGTTAAACTGCAGGAACTTGAGAGGAACAGCTCTTTGGTTTCTTACGGACTTGGCCTGCTTACTGCTCTCTTAAAACCCCCCAAACTTCTGGAGAAGAGAAACGTGCTCCAAGATGGTTTTTAAGCCTTTTGGGGGTTTATTTTTGAGATCCAACTCCGTGCATCCCCTAGATCAACCACAGATTAATTGTTTCTGTGGCCTTAATAGCAAGCAGAAACTCTGACCGGCTCTCAGAAGTTAACCGAGCACGCCAGGTCCTTGGCTGCCATTCTGGCTGCTTTGGGCTACTCGGGAAGAATTTGGAGAGCGTACGGAGCGCTTGAACGGCAACTACAAATTGTGGGTTTGTTTCAGCTCAGGAGTGAACTACGTTGAAGAGCTGATTGCTGTAACAAGAAAAAAAAACCCTCTGAACCGACGTGTTTCCAAGCTGTTCATCACTTCCCTGGTGTCTCTCCTTAGGGAAATTCTCCAAGTCCTACGATACAGATCCCATAAACAATTATTTTCTTTCCTTAGCTCCTGTAATAAAATTCATGCTTGATATTTCTGTCAGAACTCCTTGGCCCCTTCTTGGACTTTTTCTTTTTTTCAGATTGGGAAATGGAAAAAAAATGAATGTATTTTTTTTTTAAAATCTCAGATTGGATCATGCATCCTTATAATGTCATGAAAAAAAAAAAACAAACAACTCAAAACCAACACTAAGGAAGTGAATAGACTTCAAAAATTTCTTCTGGATGGTATTTAATTAATTAAATAATAAATGTACGGCACAGTACTACCAGATACTTTGGCCAAATGCTTGTCGTCAGGATATACTATTAGGAAAAAAACGACACGGGGCAGGGGAATATGTTTAATTTTTGACTGTCTGTGTATATATAGATAAGGAACCCTGCAGACATGGCCCCGTAAGTACTCGCAATCATCAGACCACTCTGGGGTTTCAGTGCTGCTGATGATTGCGTTATTTATGCAGATATATACAAAATTATGCACAACTCGCACATTGTATTTTTGTTAGAGGGAACTAAAAAAGTATGCCACCGTTCCGAATACTTTTTTTTTTTTTTTTTACTTCAGTGTAAATTTGCCGGTCTAAATTGAAACATCCTCCGGTCTTTTCATACGCGCGCTGCGAGTTTCCCTGGAGAGGAACTCACGGAGTCAACGCTTGGTACTCGGCTCACAGGTTTCAAAGACTTCCTTGGTTGCCACCTTTGTGCCCTGAAATTTAGTGTATTTGTCTGAGGGGCAGAGGAAAATTGTCCTCATGCGCAGGCTGACATGTTCACGTGGCGCGCGCGTAGGCGTCCACGGTCGTTTCGGGAAGAGTTTGGCAGTTTTTAAACTCTTCCTACAAGACAACAGCTCCCGATCCTGCTTCCAGAAACTCTGGAGCTTTAAAGTAAAAGAAACCTTTGTGGATGCGTGTCGCCTGCGTGTCGTCTCACGTGTCAAAACAAGGATTTAGATGCTTTCGACCGCCTACTTGGACTCAAGCTACGTGCCGCCTTGTATCGTGACGCTCTAGTTGCGCCGCAGACTGACATACTCCATGCTTCGCGTGTTTAAGGCGCTGTGCAGATGTTGATTTAACTCATTATTTATCTCTCACCAGCGCTGAGTTTATCAGAAAGGAATACAAGCAAAACGACGGGACTTGCCCAAAGCGAAGCAACTACTCATTGGCAAAGCCCGGGCCGGGAAGAAGAGCCAAATTCCAAAGGCACTGGTGGCACATAGACATCCGAAAAGCTTTTTAAAGGAAAAATGTCGAAGTCGGGAAAGAGCGCGTTTGGGTTTTGAAAACCCTTAGCATTCCAACAATTAGCATTTCTTCACCTGCCACTATTCCTTTGGCTTTAAGTATTTTAGGAAAGGCAATCTTATGGACAACCCAAATCTAAACATACACACATTTTTTACTTGCTCCGCCCCCCCAAATTCCAACGCGGAGAGGCTTTATTTATTTCAACACCATCCTTAGCGTTGCTTTCAGAAACGTTAAGACCATTACATTCCAACCACTTTGGAATCAAACACATACAAAGTATCTTGCAGAATCACCTCTTGACTTTCCATACACTTCAGGTGGCCTGTTTTTTTTTTTTTTTACGTTCATTTCTGCTCTTTGGTGATGCGGCCGCGTGCTATTTTAACAGAGAAACCCGCCCTTATTTGGGACAGAAATTAGCCCAAGGTCAAAGAAGCGAGCCAGCTGTTTACTGTTACGTTTTATCCTCACCGCCGCGCACATGCCATGGGCTTTGCATTCTCAACCCTCCCCTTCTATCTGCGCAGCAACTATAGCGCTGTCCCTGTCCCCTGGCGGCGCCGGGTTTGGTGCCTGCGGTGCTCCCTGTCTCAACGTCTCCTTGAAGCCACGGCCAACATCTACGTCCCACCACTCCTCCGAGGCACCACCCGACTTCCACTGCCAGCGGTTCTCCTTCCGCTGCTCCCGCTCTTCATCTCTCAGGCTGGATCCCCCCGGATTCAGGGTGCCCGACTGCCACGGCTGGGTTAAGGGGGCTGGCTGCAGAAGTGCGCCAAGGGATGCGCAGATACCACCTTCGTTTAGAATCACAGAATCATTAAGGTTGGCAAAGACCTCCAAGATCATCAAGTCCAACCATCAACCCAACACCACCATGGCTACTAAACCGTGTCCCCAAGCACCACATCTACGTGGTTTTTGAACACCTCCAGGGATGGTGACTCCACCACCTCTCCGGGCAGCCCATTACAATGCTTGATCACTCTTTCAGTAAAGAAATTTTTCCTGATGTCCAACTGATGCAACTTGAGGCCGGTGCCCCTCGTCCCATCGCCCCTTCCCTGGGAGCAGAGCCCGACCCCCCCGGCTCCCCCCTCCTCTCAGGCGGTTGTAGGGAGCGATGAGGGCTCCCCTCAGCCCCCTCAGCTCCAGGCTGAACCCCCCCAGCTCCCCCAGCCGCTCCTCGTAGGACTCGTTCCATTTCGTGTGACCCTAACTCCACCGTGAAATCCTGACTGCCTGGCGGTGAATCCGTGCACGAGGACACCGTGA